TTTTTTTTTTTTTTTTTTTTGGCAATTAGTTCAGGTGCTCTGCCCAACAAAATGTTATTAAGTTGCACGAACTAATAAATATTTTGGGAATTCAAATATCCCTTATTTGCTGGATGCCGTTACCATGTGTCAAAGCTGCATCTTATATGTTATATCAGACTATTGCTAGTGGACATCAGATCTTGATCACCTAGCCCCAACAGAACTAGAGTGCGTTTATAGCTTTTCACCTTTGACAACACTACCTCCGCCTCCAACCAGTATGTTGGGGTTCGAGTCACTAGGGAGCAAAGTGCATAGAACCTGATCGGCTCCTGTACAGGGTGCCTTTTTTTGGGTGGTGGAGGGGTGGGGGGCAAAAAAGAATCCACCTCATGCTTTATGTATACTCAGCCTATCGTATCTGTTTTTCTCTCATGCTTGAGGCGTAGGTATTACATGCATGCTCTGGAATCAGATATCTAATATGGATGTCCATTTCCTATGTTGTTTGTATATATGCAAAATGTTGAGTCTTCTACGGTGTAGCCTTTTAGATATCGACAATTACAAACTTTTTTTTGGAGTTACACAAAAATGTGGGTGTTTTGGCTTCTACAGATCATTCAATGACAAACCAATAAATGAGGCTGCTACAGGGCCAGTTGGAAAAGAACTTTTTGAAAAGGAGCAAGATGATCTTCTTACAGATTTGAAAAACATACCAAAGAAGGCTTGTGATCGTCGTGTAAGTTCACAGTTTTCATTATGGAGTCATATTTTACTGCTCATATATTGTGCATCCAATTTGCTTGAAATGAGGATAACAAACAGGTTATATTTTGTGCAGATAAATGAGTTTGTAAAACGTGCTAGAGCTGCCAAGATACATTCTTATATTATCAGTCACCTGAAAAAGGAGATGCCTGCAATGATAGGCAAAGCCAAGATGCAGCAAAAACTAATTGATAACTTGGAAGATCAATTTGTAAAGGTCTCTGTCTCACGCTCTCTTTCTCTGTTGTGTGTCTCAAATCTACATACATATGTGCTCAGCATGCATGCGTGCTGAGCACCAACAAGCAATTTCAGTCTTCTGACATGATCATTTATGGAGCTTTTTATGTACTAATATCCAACTCATAAAAACAGGTTCAAAAGGAACACCATCTGCCACCTGGGGATTTTCCTAATGTCGAACACTTCAGGGAAGTTCTGAGTGGTTATAACATCGATAAGTTTGAGAAGTTGAAGCCCAAATTGATACAATCCGTTGATGACATGCTTGGTTATGACATCCCAGAACTTCTCAAGAATTTCAGAAACCCTTATGATTGATGAGGCCCAGAGCTGATATAGTATAGAGTCGTTTCTCACATTCGTGATGTTTATCATAGTGTATCTTGTATTCTTATTCTTATTTTTACTCCCACATTGAGACTTGGGCTTAATAGCGAATATGAAGCGATACTTTCATTTGGCAATTATAGTGGCTTGTAAATATGCATTAAGAATTCTTTATTTTTTGTGTTTGTATGTGTATTAATTTTTTTCCTTTATTTTTCTCGTTGGTTTCTTAGTTATTCTTTTCACGAAATGTCATTGACCAGGTTTCGTGCCATGTCTTAGCGACCTGCTACGTTTGTCAATTTTTGTTGGCATTCAGCTGGGTAACGTGAAGATGTTAGAAACAGAAGATGCCCGAGTTGCCAAGTAGTTGTTGTCACACCTCCTTTTTACACACCCGAAGGTATATACGAGAATTTTTTCAATTTAAGTGACATTATTCGAAATGGGATTAATTATTCAATTCAGAGTCGCCACTTGGGATAGTTTATTTGGTGTCCCAAGTCAACGATTTATTTTAAATCCCAAATCGAGGAAATTTCGACTTTCCTTTAGAAGTCTGCGAACCAGAAATTCTGAATAAGAAATTCTGTTAACCCGAGGGAAGGTGTTAGGCACCCCCGGATTCCGTGGTTCTAACACGGTCGCTTAAACTATTATAATTGGTCTATTATCTGATTTATTACATGTTTTAGCCTATGGTACATTTTTAACTTATTAGCCGCTTTTAATTAGTTTTAGGAAGATTCAACGTTATCTAAAACATGTCTTGAACCACGCCACATGAAATGCACCCACGGTCCACAACACATTTTATTTAACGTTGTTGAGATTTGGATTTGGGTCACATGAAATGCACACCTGAGTTTAAGGAAATTAATTTAAATAGCGCGCCTAAAGCAACTACGCACTTTCAAGTTTGCGAGGGCCATGGAAAATTCAACTAAATGGAACGCCTCGATTTCTAAGGATTAAATTAAATGAGGGCCATGATTTTTGAGATTTTATTTGGCATGGCGCGCCACGATTATTCTAAAAGGATTGTATTCAATTTAAAGCAAACTATAAATGTTCATGATTATTGCAAGGCCATGGATTATAGTAGCTCTCTACTCTCTCGGGGTAAGGGTAAGGTCTACGTACTCACTATCCTCTCCAGATCCTGCTTGTGGAATTATACGGGGTTGTTATTGTTGTTGTTGTTTCCTTAAAGCACTGCTTATCTCTACACGATCCAAAGTTTTTCCAACACTTCAAGTCTTTAACAAAAATTCTTTGAGCACAACCTTTCCACTCAAGGATTTTCAACATAGAACGTTATACACTTATATAGATAAATTGATTTCTTGTTCTTATCAGACAATAAGCTCCACGCTTCTTAAACATGCTTAAAAGCTCCTTCAATCCCAAATGACTTATTCTTATCAGGATGAAGTATGAGAGCTAATTTCCTATATTGTTTCCTTATCGCCTCATCATCAGCTTTCGGACTAACACCAACAAAACATTAACTCTCACCCTAATATGGTGCAGAAACTAAATAGAACAATTACATTGGGGCAGTAAGTAGTAGTCAGTGAATGGAGAAACTTTAAGCCCAGTTTTTTAACCAATTTGTTGTAACAACAACGAATAGCTCCATAATCTTTTATAGTTATAGAAACACATTGAATTAACTTCATAACTATTGGTTGAGCATATAATGCCAAACAACATGTCATATAAACAATATTCCCAAACAACAGGTCATACAAACGCTCAACGAATTATTTCAAAGCTTAACTCATTGTGACAAACAATTAGCCGTCAACAATTAATTACATCATTTTTGGACTGAAATCCATACCTCAATCAGCAGTAATACATCGCGAAATTAGCCCGATTAAAAGCAAAGAAAGGAGCAGGGAGCTCAACGATGAGACAAACAGCAGCAGCAACGAAATTGACCAAATAAGGTCTGAAATAAGAGTGAACTCCAACAACGGGAATAGCGACAAGGTCGTTCAATTCGACTCCATTTTTTTTGGNTCTAAAATAAGAGTGAACTCCAGTAGCGGGAATAGTGACAAGGTCGTTCAATCTGACTCCATTTTTTTGGAACAGAATCCGAAATTGGGAAGCAGAGGAACAAGAATTTTTTTTTTATTCTTTTTTTTTGTTTTCTGATTTTGAAATAGAAACAGAACTGGAGCGAAGAACTGAACTCAAACTTTTCTACTTTTTCTCAATTTTTTTTGTATCTTTGTTCTAGGAATTGAAAGAAAATTCTGAAATTAATCCGAAACTTAACAAAAAAAAAAGAACCAAACAAAAATCTTTTCCCCCTTTTCTCGAATTTCAGTCCCAAAATCTCATGTTCCCGTCACTCCCAAAAATTCCTCTGTTCTCTTACTTTCGGATCTAAGATTCACAGGGTTCGAACTCAAGATTTTGTTTTATCTCTTGGGAAAGGGTTAGAATCCGTGTGAAATTGATAGCGCGACGGAGTGTGTGGGAAATGAAGATGATTTTGAGAAGAAGAAGGAACAAATGGAAATGGAGAAGAAGAAAAAGGGCTGGATGCGCCGTTTCTCTCTATTTCTAAGGGGTCTGCCCCATCTCCTCTTCTGATCTTCTTTTTTTTCTAAGTCTTAGCTTTTATTAGGTTTTAATTAAAAGGGTCTTGGGTCAAACCGGGTCGGGTCATGAGTGGTTTGGGCTTGGGTCAAGGGGAGTTTTGGATTAGATCTGGGTTGGGTAAGAATTGACCCAATTTCACAAGGCAAACCTTTTTCCAATTCTTTCTTTTATTTTTTCTAATTTTTCCTTTTTTTTAATTAAAATCCTACAAATTAAAAATCCTAAATTATCCAAAAGTGTGAAATTAAACTAATTAGCTAATTATAAGAAATTATAAAAGCTACTTGATCTTAAATTAAAAGAGAAAAATTAATAAGCTAAAAATTAAAAGACAAAAATGTAAAAATGAGCTATTTTTGTGATTTTCGAATTTCTATAAAACAAATAATTACTGGTTAATTCTAAAAATGTAAAAACAAATCCTAAATGTAATGCATAATATTTTTGATATTTTTTCATGATTAAGATAAAAATTAAACATGCACAAAATGCAAACAATTAAATAAAAATCTTACAAAATCCTATAAAATGACAAATAATTGAAAAAATCTATTTTCTTTGATTTTATAGGAGCATTTCGTATAGGGCAAAAATCACGTGCTTCCAGCTGCCCCTCTTTGCTCGGAAACATGAAGAGTTTTCAGGCAAAGATAAAGTGAGCAATATGAGGGATTTTTGCCCGTTTGAAACTCCATGAGAAGCATTTTTGAAAAGAGCCTGACCGAACCCTGCTTCAGATGTTGCCTACATATCCTTGGCTATAAAGGAATCAGGTCAGTGTAATTCTGGAAGTTTTGGTAGCTGGAACTATCGGAAACTGTGATTTCACTACTTTTGCTGTTGTTTCTGCTTGCTGAGCTCCTTATTACACCAAAATGGAAAATAAAAGCTAAGCTAGCTAAACCTATAACTACGAGTTACAAGATTCCTATCTATAAATCTCTTGAAGCTTGATCTCGAGTCTTGGCTGGTTCTTGCTGCAGACTCCGATTTGAATCTTGATGCTCGTCAGTTGTAACCGCTGGTTCATTCTTCAGCTTTGGATCAAGGCGGGACACGCGAAGCTTGTGACTTCGATCATATCTTGAGCAGTCCGCTTCTTTCTCCGCTTCAGCACTTTGGATTCACTACTTTTGTTCTTTTTCTTCTTTTCTTTATTCTGGATTGAGACTAATTCTTTTGATCATCTGAATCTTGTGCCTCGAGGTCAAACCTGCTGAGACACCAAAACAAACAATTGAACAAAATTTTTCTGCCCCACTTTTCACTAGGAAAATTTCGTGAGTTATTTGTAACTAAAATCTAAACCTTTTTTTTAAAGCGATAAAATAAGGATTGTGCGTCTTTAGGAGGAAAGATTAGGGAATGGAGCCCTATATCTAAAATTCTCAACTAGGGAATGGAGGCCCTATGTTGGCAAGAAAGGCGACTAGGGAATGAAGGCCCTATGTCTAAAATCTCAACTCATGGATTGGAGCCCTAATATTGGCAAAGAAAAGGCGACTAGGGAATGGAGGCCCTATGTCTAAAAAATCTCTACTCAGGGATTGGAGCCCTAATGTTGGCAAAAGAATGCGACTAGGGAATGGAGGCTCTATGTCTAAAAATCTCAACTCAGGAATTGGAGCCCTAATGTTG